AACGAAAAATCATTAATGGTAATATATAGCTAAACTTAGCGAATTCGAATGTCATGCAGGTAATACAAATATGCTGTACGTAAACAAAACAGAGATATTTCAATGTCATTTGACAATGGAGAATTTTTTTTTTTTCGATATTTATAGAGATAAAATTCTTAAACGAACATAAATATCTTTTTTTTGTTTTGAGCTCGATTTAAGTCAATTCATTAAAAAGTAATTCGATTATTGTTAATAATTAAAGATGGGTTGTATGAATTTCGAGCACGACTTTCAAAAAAAGTGGCAACGTATCAATGAATCAAGATATACGAGAATGTTTGTTTTAATAACGATCATACAAGCTATTTTATTGGTTGTCCTGCAAATCCGAATGATGTTTCGCAATAGTATATTATATCTTGATACAATAGTTCCATTCGTACCTGATATCAATGATGAGCAATGTAACTTGGATGATATAACCGTTAGATTCGTTGTATTAATAATGGAAAATATTATTTTTATTTTTTTTAATATATATCAATTGTATTTTGGTTTGAACGCGGTGAGTTTTTTTTCTTTCTCTTGGTTTTTTTTTTGCTCGAGTGGCTTTCAATAACTTTTTCTTTTTTATTTTTTTTACAGATTTTTCATCAAAATACCATGCAAATTTTCGCAGGTTTTATAATTAATATCGGATATGTGATCCTCGGAATTGTAAATATATTTCAAATTTATAAACTTTCTACTTTTAAGTCACGTGACATTAACCAACCATTTTTAGATTCAAATGGTTGAAGTAAAACTGACCGGAAATATAATAGAATCAATGTGTATTGGACTTAAAATTGAGCATAGATTTTTAATATACGAATTCCCCCATGTTGCTACTTTAACGATCTTGGCAATTTTGTTGGGTTTATTATCTTATAAATTATATCAACAATTTGGTTGGAATATTTACAAGAAAATCGGAGGGGACATTGATATGCAAAGTAAAGTTTGATCATTCCAATTTCGCGTGTTTTCTTAAGACAAATTATTCAATACTAACATGACCTTTATATTAACTTAGAACGATTCAAAACATATCTTATTTTCGTAATGTTGTTGAAAATTGATTTATTCTTCGTAATCATTTTTAATGCCTTGATATCACCATTTATGTTATATGAAACCGTAGTTGATGAAGGGATGAAAGCTGGTGTAAAAGCCTTCTTATATGGATATGTAGTGATTTTACTTTTATCACTCGTATTTCAAGTATTAGTATACAAATCAGTAAGTGAACTAACATAATCATTTTCATCGTTATTTTTTTTTAAAAATTTATTTATATCAAATATCATTCTTAGTTGGAAAAAGAATGGAGAACTGGAATGAACATTTTTATTATCTTTTGGTTTCTTGCTATATTGGACTTTAGCTATTTGGTTTATTTCCTTGGAGATTTTTTAATTCCAAATCAATTATTTTCTTTAGTAATATTAGGTAAATTTATAATTCCTTTTTTTCAAAAAAATAAAAAAAAAAATAGAGTTTTTCAATTTAATTTAAAAAATTAATTTAATTTTAAATTTTAGCATCTATACTCTTGATTTGCGCATTGGTAAGTGTTGATTGGACCCTTTCTTTATCCATAAAAATATGTAAAAAATAACCGGTATTTTTTTCTGCTTTCCATATATAGTTAACGTTCGTATATGCGATACTCGTGACAAGAAACTTTGATAAAGGATTAAGTGAATATCGTAAGTTAATAATAATATCTGTGGTCCAAATCATTGACTCTTTCTTTCTTTAACGTAAGATTAATTATTTTTTTTTTGTATAGTCGATAAGGATTCCCCTAAAAAACCCTTACACGAAGGTTCAAATATTTTATCAGATGTTGAAAAAGGATCTAGTAGTAATGATGATAATGTGAATAAATTTACTATAGATGATGATTGAAAATAAAATAAAAAAATATTATAATAACTTGTATTTATATATTAAAAAAAAAAAAAAGGTTATAATTTATTAACTTAAAGAAATATTAAAAAAAAAAAAAATCAATTATTGCTTTTACTTTTATTTTTTATCATTGCTGCAACGATTGGTGGTGTGATGTTTAAGATTGCAAAAGGAACAATAAAATTCATCGGATACAATACGCATTTAATTGATAAATGGAATATTCATCTATTCAATGTAACGAAATTTATTGTAAAGAATGAATTTTTTTTAAACCCGCCTGACTCAAAATTTTATTAATGTTAATTATTTTGATTTAATATTTTTATTCCTATATATTATGGGACAATTTATTGGACAATGTCCAAATTCATTAAGGTCCTGCCCGAATATACAAATTTCAACACTCGATGTAATTGATCAACCAATAAATCGTGATATATATCACGTGACTCGACATATTGTACGGATATTTTACTATTTATAGAATTATATATAAAAATTGGTTTTTTATAAAAAATTTTTATTAATAAACTGAACAAAAAAATTTACGTTTTATTTTTGAATTAATATTTAGTATGCCATCTTTAGCTTTAATTACTAAATTAATATAAGCTCAAAATTAAGTGATGTTAATGTTTTAAATGGTTTGGTTCAATTCAGATTATAAGCCAATCTGAATTCAAACTAAAGTTTCAGTTCAGTTCAATTCAGATTATTAATCTTAAAATGACAATCTGAATTTGAATTAAACTGTAGACTAGTAAAAATCTGAACTGAATTAAAAATTTTAGATTAATTCAAAAGTTTTAATTATTTAAAATAGTTTTTATCATTCCAATTAACTAATATTTTTATTATTCTAATTAAACAATTTTTTATTATTCATTTAAAATAACATATTTTTATCATTCATTTAAAATGATGTTTTATCATTCAAATTAAATGGTTCTTTTATCATTCACTTGAAATAATGTTATTATTATTCTAATTGAATAATACTTTTATCATTTATTTGAAATAATAATAATATTATTATAATTAAATAATTCTTATTGTTTATTTGAAATAATAATTTTAATTATTCTATTGAACAATATTTTATCATTCAATTAAAATAAACCAATTGAAATTTTTAAATCAGTTCAAATTTTTTTAATTTAGATTAGAATTATAATCCAAAATAATCTAACTGATTCAAAATTTTTCAGATTTTTATACAATCTAAAACTGAACTAAAGTCAAATTAAACTGAAAATTTTTAGATTAATCTGAACTGTTCAAAGTTTTAAATGATGTAATATTTCTAAACTAATTTTTTTTTATTTCTTTTTATAATATTAATTAATTCTATTTAATTTTCTAAAAATGACAAATTTTTTGAAAAATAGTAACTTCATAATTTAATAAAAGCAAATTGCAGATATAAAATTATTAGATAAAAACTTAAAAAGAATACTAATGATATATATGATATATTTTTATAAATATATCTAAAAGTAATATCACATATTTTTAAGAAAATATATATAATTATTTTAGTTAATATGAATATTTTATAAGATTTACAAAATACTGTTAAAATAATTATTCTGTCAATGTTGAAAAATAAAAAGTATCCTTTTTGCAATTATTTAGATGTAAATATTTAATTATATATTACTATAAATAATTTCTATAGAATAATTAATAAGTGAAGTAAAATAATTAATAAACATACTTATCATCAAATAATTAATTTCTATTAATAAAAATTATCTGAAAAATATTAATAAAACTTATTTGTAATTTTTTTAATTAAATTGATAAAATAAATTACTCTAATAACATATGTAAGCTTTTATAAGCTAGAAAATTCTTCTTTTAATAATATATTATGTAGATATATTAAAAACTAAAAAATCAAGTTACTTAGTAAATTAATTAAATATAAAACTTTATATTCTTACATATATTATTAAACTTTAAATAAACAATATTAATAATATCAAATTATGTCATATATATAATATAGAAAATTAGATTGATTTTCTATAATTGTAATCTTTACTAAAATTCTATATATTCTAAATATATATTTTTATAAAGATTGTTAAAAAAATAAATTTTTTAAAATAATATGTTGGTAAGAATTTAAAAATACATAAAGAGTATCTAAATAATAAAGATAATATAATAAAAATAATTTTATCATTGAGAAGATATTAATATATAATAGTTTTTTAAATAAATAATTAATTAAACTAATTTACAATGATAAAAATTATATAATTGAATAATACTCTTATATTAATTAAGTATAAATTGGATAATTTGCAATTTACCAGTTTAAGATTGAATTTCATATTATGTATAGCTTTACCAATATGTAGATTAGCCATGGTAGAATCTGAAAGATACTTACCAATGCTTGTTAGTAAATTAGAAATCATTATTGAAGAATGTGAATTAAGATAAGACATGATTATAATTAGGATAACAGAATGTCTTAATAGATATATAAACCCTATATAACAGAAATTGCTTGCGTAGGTAAGGCATTGAGAATTTACAACCTTTATTTAGATGAAAAATTCTATGGGCAGAGGTTAAATAAATTATATAAAGAAAGTTTGAAAGAAGAAGATATTTTAAAGGAATTAAAATCCATATTGAGCAGATATGCTAAAGAAAGAAATGATAAAGAGAGATTTGGAGATTTTTTTATTAGGATGGGATATGTTAAAACTACAAAGTATGGTAAAGATTTTCACAATTTGTAAGAGAAATTGAAAATAAACAAACAACATTTAAGATATAGAAAATTTTCATTTTATATTAATAATAAGTTTTTATTATATTTCTTTATATATACAGTCGTCCCCCCTTATAGTCACACCTGTCGGGACTACAAAACTGTGTGGTTATAAAGAAGTGTGCTTATAGGCTTATAATCACAGTATATATAAAATTTGCATAAATGTGACAATAATTTTGTACTATATATAGATTATTAATCAATTATATAAAATTTATTATTTTTC